CCATCTACAGAAAAAATGTCCTTTGCTGATATGGTCAAAACTACCAAAAATAATTACTTGCGCCCCAATACTTTCAGTTCCATAGCAATTTACCCTGAAAATAAATTAAAAACAAGTGAAGACACAAAATCTCTTGTCCAGAAAATTATATGCCCCGAACAATTGAAACTACACGTAAGAGGACTACGAAAAACTAAAAATGGAGGCGTTATTATCAACACTGATTCAAAGGAGGACATTGAGAAGTTAAAAAAAATCTACCCAGCTTGGTAGTTCCGGACTAAAGGTGGAAGAGCCCCATAAAAGAAGACCAAGGATTATAGTCTTAGGAATATCTACCGCCCTTAGCGAACGAGAAGTCTTTGACTGCATTTTTGAACAAAATTTAGCCGATAAGATCCCTAACTTAACGCGGGAATCTTTTTTGTCCTCTATAAAACTAAGTCATAAATCGGGTAAAAAACAAACACTTTCATGCAACTTTATTTTGGAAGTGCCAGCTGGCATCAGAAAGGCACTTATCAACCAGGAGCGAGTCTTCATAAATTGGACGTCGTGCCCAGTTCGAGACTTCACACTTGTGACCAGGTGCTTCAAATGCCAACAGTATGGACACGCTGCAAGAACTTGCCGGGAAACAATCGACACGTGTGGACATTGTGGTGAATTAGGACATCAGTCAAATGCTTGCATTAAGAAAACTGATCCAGCAAAGTGTGCAACGTGCCTGCGTTTTAAAAAACCGAGCGACCATAAAACAGGTGACCCCGAATGCCCGGCTAGGAAAATGGCTGAAAATAGGTATATTAATTCCATAGATTATAATGAGGGCGCCTAAGAGCGCCGCCTTTTACCTTAATTCTTTTTGCCCTAATTTATAAGTTACTAATAAGTTTAAGTTTAGTTTATATATATATATTTAAAATATTTTTATTATTTCTGTTTAATAATATGGATAAGTTAAGTAATGAAATCGATGCTGTCAGTTTATCAGTGGCAAAAATATGTGAAATTGATATGTGCAAAGAATATCTCTTCAAACCTGCGAACTCTCTTACTATTTTAACACAGAACATTCGTAGTATAAATAAAAACATGGATAATTTCCATATCCTCCTTCAAAGATTGGACACTGACTGCGACATCATCATACTAACAGAATGTTGGCTATCTAAAAGCCAAAGCAACCTCCCATTACTGCCAGGTTACAATACTTTTAGTAGTAAAAATGTATATAACCAAAATGACGGTGTTGTAGTCTTTGCGAAAAAAAATACGAACATATCAGTCGAGGAGCCTAATATGCTAGATTGTAGCAGGTTATTGGTGAAAGTGGGTCATGAAACTGCTATCCTTGCTGTTTACAGACCTTGTGGTTTTAAGCAAATAGACAATTTTATCACGTCATTAGACATTACACTTAGGAAACTGTCGTCGTTCAAAAATATAGTGTTAACGGGTGATATGAATATTGATATTAACTCAGAAGGCACTGAAGGCGGAGCAAAAGACTACCTTAATATATGTGCATGCCAGGCCCTGCTTCCAGCACATTTGCTCCCTACACATCTAAGTGGTTCTTGTTTAGACCACACTTTACTAAAAACTAGGTTACCATCAATAACCCTTGTCACCAGTCCTATAGTAACCGATCATAGTGCCATCATTCTTAACTTAAGCCTTAAAATATCGAAACCTAATTGTAACTACTCTATTACTAAAATTAATACGAAAAACCTTGAACAAGCAATTCGAAACATTGACTTTAGCCCAGTTTATAAAACCGATGACGTAAACATCTCTTTGACTTACTTAATAAGTAACATACGAAATGCCATTGCTAGCAATACTTCGTATAGAACAGTAGCTAAAAAAAATAATAACTTAAAGCCTTGGATTACACCTGGCCTGATTAGGTGCATGAAACACAGGGACAAACTACACCTGATGGCAAAGACCTCTTCAGATAATTCCATTTTACAAATTTCATATAAAAGATATAGGAATTTTTGTAACAATTTATTAAAAAAAGTTGAAGTATAATTATCTTACAAACTTACTAGAAGAGTCTGGTAGAGATAATAAAAAGATTTGGCGGCATGTAAAAGATATTGCATTTATTTCCAAACAGCATGAATCTTCGTCAGAATTATTACAAAATAATGCCTCGCCGCTTATATCAGCAAATACAGTAAATAATTACTTTGTGAACGTTGGTAAAAATCTGGCTGAGCAGATAACAAACAACTCTAACAATAATTGTGAATACAGGGCCACTTTATTAACTCAAAAAAACCTGCCAATTAAGCTCGTTCACATTATTAGATACGGACCCTAGTGAGGTGGAAAGGATTATAATGGGACTGAAAGAAACAAGCGCGGTTGGATGGGACGGATTACCCACTAGTATATTAAAAAAATATAGACAAATTCTAGTACCACCATTAACCCATATTTTCAGAATTTGTCTCTCTGAAGGAATTTTCCCAGATTGTTTAAAAAAAGCAATTGTAGTTCCAGTATTCAAATCGGGGGACAAAAAAAACGTTTCCAATTATCGGCCTATCTCAATACTCTCATCCACGTCTAAAATATTAGAAAAATTAATTAACAACAGATTAATGAATTATTTACAAAGTAAATCCATATTATCGAATATGCAATATGGTTTCAGGCCTAAAATGTCCACTGCTGATGCTGTGCAGGAAATGACCGATTACCTCTCTCAAGAATTAGATAAAGGCAACCAATTAATTGGCATTTTCCTTGACCTTGCAAAAGCATTTGATACGGTTTCTATTCCTATCCTATTAAATAAGTTAGAGAGCATAGGTATTCGAGGTAAGCAGCTTCAACTTTTTAAGAATTATTTAGAAAATCGATATCAATGCATAAAAATCGATAAGGTTGTTAGCTCTGAACAAAAAAGTACTCATTTTGGCGTGCCTCAAGGAAGTGTATTAGGGCCAACCCTATTTTTGATTTATATAAATGACCTTTGCAATCTTGAACTTAACTCAGGTAAAATAATATCTTACGCAGATGATGCCGTGCTACTTTTTTCCGCAAATACAGTTGACAAGGTTTATTCATATGCTCAGCAAGGTTTTAATAGAGTTAATAAATGGCTCCAACAAAATATATTAACACTGAATACGGACAAAACCAAATATATTCATTTTTCTATGCGCAGCTCAACCCAGCATATAACCATTCCAGAACTTTATGCACATCAATGTTACTCAGTCACAGAGTCTAAATGTTACTGCCCAGTTATTTCTAATACAAAAACTGTTAAGTACCTTGGAATAATTATAGATTCTACGTTTACATTTAAAAACCACATAAACCACCTATGCAATAGAGTTCGTAAACTAATGTTTGTTTTTAAAAAAATTCGTTCTTTTGCTGACAATAAGGTAGTAAAACAAGTATATTACGCATTATGTCAGTCAATACTCACCTATTGTATAACCTCTTGGGGTGGAGCAGCTAAAACTACACTACTACCACTGGAACGCGCTCAAAGAGCTGTATTAAAAGTTGCAACATTCCGCCCTATTCTATTTCCATCCCATCTCTTATACAAATCCTATAATGTCCTCTCAGTGCGCCAGTTATTTGTTATAAGTATGTTACTAAAACAGCACTTAAGATTGCCTTATAGAAGAGAGGTCACTGATAAAAGGCGCAAAGATAAAGTAATTGAAACTAACATTAGAATAAGGCATTATTTCATGCATAGATTTTTTACATTTCTCGGCCCTTTTTTGTATAATCAAGTCAATGCAATTTTGTATATATATCCATTAAAAATGGCAGACTGTAAAAAAGGTAATTCGAACATGGTTACAAAATTTGTCATACGATGATACGGAGAAGTTGTTGATTGTTTTAAGTTAATTAATATCATAAGTAAATTAATGATAATGTATTTTACCCAAATAACCCTTATTAGTTAGTACGTTATTCATTTTATATAAGAAACAGAAAATATTTGTTAATGTATCTTTTAGCACATACACCTGAGATACAGGTTTATCCTAGTTCAGGTGCCTGTTATTGTAGACTATTTTTAAGTTAAGACTTATTGGAATAATTTGTACATTTTATCAAAATAAAATAAATTATTATTATTAAAAAAAAATTATTATTATTAAAAAATTGTAATATATGCTTCTACAGAAAAAGACGATTGTGCAGTAATGAAGAGAATATCGTGCAATGTAGCGCTGTTGAAAATATAGAATATGTAACGCTACAAGAAAATCAATTTCACAGCCAACAACTTCATATTTATGAACAGCGTAATGAATGCATTACTCCCGAAGTTATTCTACACAGAAACACAGGAATTCCTGGCGATGGTAATTGTCTATTCCACTCGCTCATAAGTGTTTTGCAACTTCAAATTGAGAGTTGTGACTTGAGAAATCAGTTACGCGATTCACCCTATTTAAACTCCTGCCACAAGCCGCAAGAAGCATATAACATTCTATCAAGCAGTAATGATTACGGAGATTTGGATTGTTTGTACTTATTCTCAAAAATGTACAATCAAAATATTTGTGTACATTATTGTTTTTACAACATAACTACAACGAATCAAGACACTATCTTTTGTCATTTTAAAGCGAATGATGCACAAAACTGGATTCATCTTCATCTTCGTGAACAACATTTCACACCTTAATGATTTCTTAAATTTACGCGAACACTACACATTGAATAAAACTATTATTTACGGATTTTATCGCGTTTAATTACTTTAATTTATTTTTAGTATTATCCCGACGTTTCGGGTGCTTTACAGCGCCCATGGTCACGGGGGGACTGAGATGTTTGACGTCCCAATGTCATAGTTAGTCCGGCTACCTTCAGTTTTTTAATATTAATTTTTTTTTATTATTAATTTTTGGTCCGATTTACGCAAAATGAGCTACCTTCAGTTTTTTAATATTAATTTTTGGTCCGAATTACGCAAAAAAGATGTTTTTGCAATGATTAGGCAATTAGCGCCACCAACTGCTTTTATGACTCTCAGCGCCAATGAAACTGGCTGGGAAAATATGTTGAAATTATTGTACAAATTGAAAAACGAGGGAACGGAACTTTCAGATGAGTTTTTAGCAGAAATGAGTTATGTGCATAAAGCTCAACTTGTGAATGAAGATGCCGTAACTTGTGCTATCTATTTTAATAAAATGGTAAAGTGTCTGTTAAAAATTTTGCAATCAAAGAAAAGAAGTCCATTCGGAAAATATAGAGTAATACATTATTTCAAAAGAATAGAATTTCAACATCGTGGTAGCCCACATGCTCATATTCTTCTTTGGTTGGACAATGTTCCTGAAGATTTATTAAGTAATGATCCCGAAGTAATTAAATTAATCGACGAATTAGTTTCTGTATCACCGTCAGAGGCGTCTGGAAATATAAAACTAGTAACACACAAACACACATTCACGTGTTATAAAAAAATGGATCCTAATAAAAAACAAGAATATCAATTTGGTGCACCATTTATGCCTACAAAAAAAAACTATTAATTTAATACCTATGAAAAACACTGATCCCGATTACTCAGAAGCACTTTTCAAAGAATTAAATTTATAAAAAAATAATCTCGAAAATATTGACTATACGGATTTTGATGAATTTTACTCGCATAATGGTATTATTTCTAATGATCATTACTACAATATTATTCGTGCTGGTATCAGTAGACCAAAATTATTCTATAAAAGGGCACCAGCAGAAAAATGGCACAACACTTTCAATCCATTCGTATTACATCATTTGAAATCCAACATGGATTTTCAGATTATACTAGATGAATATGCTTGTGCAACATATGTTGTTGAATATGTCGATAAGCATAATAGAGGGATTAGTAATTTGCAAAGACAAATAATTGACATAATGGACGAGCATCCAGAATTCGACATTGTCGATATCACGAAAAAAATGAGTATTGACATACTTCAGTCTGTTGAAATGCCGGCACAAGAAGCTGCTTGGTATTTATTAAGAGAACCTATGGCTAAGTCATCGGTGGTGTCAGTCTACATTACAACGGTATTTCCTACTGAACGCGCAAGAATTAGAAAATCTATGAAGGAGCTTGAAGCTTTAGATGATGATTGTACGAACATTCGGAAAGAGAATTGGCTTGATAAATATGAGAAAAGACCTGAAGAACTCCGCGATGTTACGTTAGCACAATTTGTTGCAAAATATTACCTAAATACAAAGGGGACTTACACTAAAAGAGATACTGCAAGAAAAATGAGATACAGGAACTACGATATGGCTGACAATTACAACTATTATAGGCGTGAGATGGTTCTGTTGCATGTTCCTTTTCAAAGTGAAGAAAATGATATTATTGCTGAAAATAAGTTCATTCAAATATACGAGGACAACAAAGATACGATATTAGAACGTAGGAAAGAATTTGAATCAAATTTGGACATAGAGAAAACTTTAGAAATTTGTAGACAGTTGTGCCGAGAAAACGATGAAGAACAAGAAGACGTAGAATTATTAAGAGCGGTTGATATATTGCATGTAAGAGATCTTTATGACTTATTGCTACGTGATCCAAACTCAACTGCTAATGTTGATTTACAAAATGCATCTCTGCATAAAATTGGCGCTGTAGCTAAAAAAAGAGAAAATTTAATGGATTATCAACAATTCTATAATTTAATGCGGATGGCCAATGATCAACAAAGAGATATTCTTATGACTATAATTCATCATTTACAAACTTCAATTCAAGAACCATTTCAAATTTTTTTTACGGGACCAGCAGGTACGGGAAAATCATTCGTTATCAAACTGATTATGGAAATTTACAATAGGTTCACTGATAATGATGGTTACTGCAATGCCTATATTACATGTGCTTCAACCGGCAAAGCTGCCGTGGCTATTGACGGTACAACTGTTCATACAGCGCTCAAAATTTCTCTTTCAAAACTTTTGCCTCTGTCATCAGAAACGATGCAATTGTATAGATCTCTCTTCAGATATGTCAGAGTACTGATCATTGATGAAATTAGCATGGTTAGTGCAGAACTTCTACATAAAATTGATAATCGTCTAAAACAAATAACAGGCAAAAACACAGATTTCGGAAGTATAGATGTTATTTTGTTCGGAGATTTACGGCAATTGCCACCAGTAAGATCGACACCAATTTACAAGACAATCAGAATGAGCATGATTGGACCGCATTTATGGAGAAAATTAAAATTTTATCAACTCACCACAGTAATGAGACAAGCTAATGTTGCATTTTCACAAGTTTTGACAAAAATAGGTAATGGAGATATACTAGATGAGCATGAGTTTCAACTTATTGAATCGAGATTTTTCAAAAAATAGGATGTTGCTACATTATGTCCTGATGGAGTTCGTTTATTTTTTAAAAATGAAGATGTTGCCGCCTATAACAATTTAATTTTGAGCCAATGTGAAAACAAAGTTCTTTCAACGTCCGTAGACGTCATTATTGGCGCTAAAAGTGCTGAACAAGAAGCTAATTTTAGACTTAAATTACCTAAAAAAGTCTGTTATTGACACTGGAGGACTGCCTTATCACATTACTTTTGTCGTTGGAAAGCATTATGTTATTGCAACTAACATCGACGTTACTGATGGTTTGTGCAATGGTGCTGTTGGGAAATTGGTACATCTAGAATTTGATTAAAGTAACACATTATTAAGAGTTTGGCTGGAATTTTGTGGTTCAGATAAAGTGGGTAGGAAAAAAGGCAAAAAGCAGCCGCTCTAGCAGTGCAAAACAGAGTTGGCAATCTCGCTGTTCCCATTGAATTACGAACAGCAAATATTTCATTAACATCGGATAGAAAATGTATAGCCAAACGCAAACATTTTCCATTAACTTCAGCTCTTGCTTTAACTATACATAAGTCGCAAGTTGGAACTTTTGACGAAATGCTATATGAGTATAGTAAAGCACATTCTCAGGAACTCGTTTATGTTGCGCTCTCTCGGGTGACTAATATTGAAAAATTGTATATCACGACAAAAAACGATAATTCTACATTCAAGTTTTATCATAATGGTAAGCAAGCTGCATCGACTGCATCTTTGTTGCAAGAATTCAAAAGACTGTCTTTAAATAGTGTTCAGACGGTAGCTCAAAGTGTATTAGATTTCATTAGTAATGGAAATGGCATTTCAATAATGACTTTCAACTGCCAAAGTCTAAATAGTCATAAATACGATTTACAAGATTCAGTTACGAGACAAACAAATGTGTTACTTCTTACCGAAACTTGCATGACGCATGATAATCCGATTGAAATACCTAATTTTAATTGTATTGTTCAGTTCAAACGAGATACTGTTCCAAAAGGTGGGGTAGCTATTTACCAAAATAAAAAAAAATATTACTAATATTATGACTCCGAATATTGAAATAAATATTGCACACGTTAGCGATGTTAATGTTAGGCGCTCAGTTGTTGGAGATATTTGTGCGTGCCTATGCAAACTTATAAATGGCTTACAAATAGTTATGGTTGCAATTTACATTTCTCCGAGTCCAAAATTGGACGAGGTAGAGCATTTTATTCATCGCACTTTACTGGAGTACACTGAAGAAGGGTCGAAAATACTTGGTACAAATGGTAATAAAATTCCACTTATCTTGGCTGGCGATTTCAACATTAACTTCGCTGATAGAAAATCAGAGCGGTTGACAACTTTTCTATCACAAACATTGAATTTGAAAATGAATAATAATCCACAAGAGTCCACAACAAAATATGGGACCACCATTAACGCGGTATTTTCTAGGTATTTAGAGGATAATAAGTCGCAAACTTATGTTTCTTATTTCAGTTATCACAAACCTATAATGTCAATGATAAATATTCCTGAATAACCAACAGCTACTGTAACAGTCTTATTCATAAAAATCCACTAAAATGGCGTTATAACAGTGATTAGTTAAAATGCTCAATAGTACTATTAAACCTATTATAAAATTCTCTATTCATAAACGTTCAATAAACCTGTGCTTTCGTTAAATCGATTCAAGAAATTGATTTGTTTTATATTCATATATAACTCAATAAAAATAATGGAAAACGTTACATGTAAAAAGCGGCAAAGAAGTGAAAATTGGCTGGAGGAAGATAAGGTTAGTTTGTGACTAAAGTAATTTTCTCATAGGTGATTAGTGCACAAATGATAGTTAACTGTTGTTATAATAGTATCCTTTTTCTTTCCATAGCATTTATTGATGGATTTGGTAAGGGAGCGTGTATCAGTAATTGAAAATAAAAATACTGATACAAATACAAACTCAAAAAAGCTAGCAGCATGGGCAGATTTATTATGCAGGTACATATTTTTGTCTATCAATTTGTGAAGTGTTTGAAGATGAGTCTTCAACGCAATGATATTCTATATACGATCAGTTACATTATTATGCAACAGAAGCATGTCACTTCGTCTCTTGCTGGTCTAATGCATATAAGCTTTTAAAGTCATAACAGTGGGCACAAAAACTCAACACGATCAAGTAAATAAATTATATTTTCGGAGTTATTCATGTCAGCAACAATACGCCACGGTCTATTGTAGAAATTAACAACCCATTGGCAGTCATTGCAGTAAAACCTTATATTAAAATGAGTTTCTTCCCAAGGTCATATTAGGTTATAAGTCACAATATCCTTTCAGCTGCGGAGACTCTAAACGTAATTCTCCGTTGACTGCGGAGCTGTTTAATAAAATGGACGGCTGATTGGGCCCAATCCGTTTAAATGTAAATATCTTGATTTTGGTATATCGAATACTATAATATGTATACATTTCTGAATTCTCTATGAAATTTCCTATAAACGAGTACATATATTTAATAAAGTTTAAAGTGGTTAGTATAACTAAATATAGAATAAAGTCAAAACTATCATATTTATCAATGACACAAAGTTTTTTAATAGTTCAATTTTATTTTATTTTAATCTTACGTCTATTGTTTACAATATTTTATGTGCAAAATCATAGGCTACAATACAATTTTTTATCGTAAAACGCATTAATAATAAGCTTACAAGAACCCACAATCAATTTACATCGATGTAGCATGTAGTTCGGACCAGATGCGGCATAATGCGGCGTAATGCTTTAGTCAAAAAAATTGTTTTTTTTTATTTCATTACAATGATTCAGTTTTGAATCTCTCTTTTTCTTTACATGATTCAGTCATCTTTCAATAGGTATTGCTAAGTTTTAGAAATCCGATAAAGTATTTCATAAGTACTCTTAATGCCGATATCAAAATTTTAGTCGTAAGTGCCATATTTATTGAAAAATTAATTACTTTATTTGAGCAAACAAACTTTAACAGCACTTGTACAGAAATAAAGATTCATTCATTCCTTTAAAAACCATAAAACCACTCAAGAGTCACTCCCGCTGATATAGAGTTATAAATAACGTTTTTTGTAAACAATACCCAATGCACCATAATATGTATCGAGTGACAGAGGCGCCGCGAGGTGCGCAGCGGTTATGTTACATTTCCAATAACCAATAACATTATTTCTCCAAACGGTAACATATTTCCTTTAACACAAACAATAGCTACGAAATAATAAAATTTAAAATAAATATATCTCTTTCTGAAATAAAAAAAAATATTATTTATGTATATTTTTAAAGAACCCACTTCTTATGCATTATACAAAAATATGCCACAATTAAAGTTCGATTCTGCACTTTTTTGTGCATCATGTACTAGTTCATTAAAACATTTTTTGTACGTGGTAGAGCCATGCTGCAGTTATATTAGTAGTATAGTTGTAGCACGAATAGGCCGGCTCGACCGGGGAAGGACCACGCTCTCACAGAATATTAGCGTGAAATAATAGCTTAATGCTTCTGTGTTTCGTATGGTGAGTGTAGAGAACCGGAGAGCCTTTTTGCTGGAAACGAGGCGTTCGATCTTAGTCATCACGGGTGACACGCATTTTTGCATTTTGATTTGTAATCGAGGATAGATGTAGATGTCTATGGGCCGCAGAAACCACCACAGGTGGACTGCGTGCTCGTTTGTCACCCTATCCTATAGAAAAAAAAAAACATACAAAATAAAGAGGTGTATTCATTTCAACGATGAGAGCCGTGGTGGCTCGGAAGAGCCGTGGTAGCTCAGATGGTTAGCTCTCGCTGTAAATTTCATAGTACGCTAGCAAGCCGGGTTCGATCCCCGCTAGCAATAATGAAATTGTTAATTGCAATTTTAAGTGCTGAACTACCACGTGCTCGGCGGTGAAGAAAGACATTGTGAGGAAACCTGCACGACTGTGAAATAAGAAAAAAAATATTTCGAAGACATGTGAAGTTCGCCAACACTATATTGGCAGCGCGACGGAAACTTCTTTGCCTTTGCCCAGCTGTGGGGCGTAAAAAGGCTGTAAATTAACTAACTTAAGTATTCATTTCGACGATGAGAGAGCCCTGGTAGCTCAGATTGTTAGCTCTCGCGTTAAATTTCACAGTACGCTAGCACACCGGGTTCGATCCCCGCCGGCATCAATGAAATTATTAATTACAATTTTAAGTGCTGATTTACCTTTGCTCGGCGGTGAAGGAAAACATCATGAGGTAGTCTGACTGTCTGAGAAATAAGAAAAAATATTTCCAAGGCATGTGCAGTTCGCCAACACGCATATGGGCAGCGCGGTGGATACTTCTTTGCCGTAAAACTCTTTCAGAAGTGAGGGAAGGCCCAGCAGTGGGACGGAAATCGGCTGTGTAACTTAACTAACTTAACAATTTCGACGATGATAGTCTGAAATAATTAGCTGAACAAATTATAGCTAGGCAACAATAAAAACTAAGTGGATGGATGGACATAAGTATAAAATTGAATAAATATATAACATAGGTACTTATTTCTTTAAAAGGCTCCTGGTACTTGTTGGATTTACTGTATCTACAGTACAATTCATTTACGAATGGTACTGTAGGTAGCAGCAATCTTGCTATAGGTTGAAACATAACGCAACGTTACACGATTTGCAAAGTAAATACAGATAAAATGTACATTAAAAAAACCAGTATAATAAATATGTGTCTGAGGTGACCTTAAAAACCGCAACCTGTTCATATTAAATTAAAAAAAATAAAAATTTCAAATATTAAATATTAAAAAATATTAAAATAAAAATATTAAAAAGCATATTATGTAAATACTATCTAACTTTCTGTTTTAATAAATTGTTTAAAAAATTCCGAAGTCTTGTGTTAACATACATGACATATCCAAATGCCACATTCAATTTTTTATAAATCATCGAATAATCGTGGAGTCAACCAAGCTCCATTTCTCTGCTCGAGGGCAC